TTTTTAAATTTATTAAAATTATAATAAATATTATATATTTTAATAAAGTACTTATTAAAAATCTCTTTATTAAAGTATTTTTTTTAAATAAGTTTAAACTATTTAAGGGCTCGTCCTTTAAAAAAGCTAATAATATATATAACCTTCTTAATTTTATTAATAAAGTCTTTATAATAAAAGTTTTAATAGTTCTTAATTTAAATTAGAAATCCTTTAAAAATACTTAGGGTACTATTATAAATAATAAATATACTAAGCTTAAATTTCTATTATCCTCCTTAAAAAGGGGTACTAATAATATTAATAATAGCTCGGAAAATACTAACTTCTTCTTAAAAAGCTTAAATATTATTACTTACTTTTTACTTTCTAAATTAAATAACTTCGTTCTCTAGAACTTAAATACGTTAAGGTTTATTTCTAAATTATTAAAATATAATTTTAAAGTTCTAAAGCTTATTTATTATTTTATTATATATAGTCTATATTTTAGTAATATTTATGTTTTTTTTTTAACTCTTTTTTAAAATCGTTTATAAGTTTTTTTTTTAAAAATAACTTCGTTATTAAAGTTAATATTTATTAGAGCTATTTTTATTTCTTTAGCTAAGCTTTAAATAAGTTATTTAAAAAAAGTAAAAAAACTTAGAATAAGTAATTTAGCTAAAGTATAAGAAAATATTATTTATACTATTTAATTAGTTTTTTATAAAATAAACTTATTAAATAAGAGTAATTAAAGTATTATAACTAGCTAGTTATAATAAGTATATTAATAAAAATTAAGGCTATAATAGCTAAATAAATAATATTATAATTATAAATAGTTTTTATAAAACTATATTTATAAGTCGTAAAGTAAATAAGGCTTTAATAATTAATTATAGTCCTATTAAGAGGAGTTTTTAATAAAAATAGCTAAAAATAATCGTAAAATTTAATATTAAGTTAATTATTAAAAAAGCTATAGAAGTTCTATCCTTAAGCCTAGCTCGAAACTATACTATATATAAATCCCGTATACTATTTAAATAGTTTTTTTAAAATTAAAACTAATATTATAATATTAGTTTTATAAAAATAAACCGCTTTTATTTTATTAATCTTATTTATAAACTACTTATTATTCGTCAGTCCTTTTTATTATTATATAACTTTATTTATAGTTTTTTTATTTTATAAAAGTAACTCCTATATTAACGTCTTTTATATATATATAGCGTATTATAGCCGCTATGAGCCTACGGGGCAGGCCCTAGTTTTAATTATATATATTAGGTCGTAATATTAAAAAAAGGTTATAATATAAATATACGCAGGACGAGATTAAAAAATTTAAAAAAATAAAAATACTTATTAATAACTCGTTAAATAAATTTAAAAGAGTATATAACTTTTAAATATAAAATAATTAAGTATATTTTATAAAAATATATTAATAAGACTTTTACTAAATAAGAGGGATAGTAAATTTATAAAACTTTATATATAGTAATAGTAATAAAATTATAAATATTTATTTCCGTAATAAAAAAGTAATCGAATTATAATTAACTAATTTTAAAAAATAGAAGTTATTTAAATAGAATTTATAAGAGGTATTAATTAGTTTTTATATAGGACGACTAGTTTTTTAGTATTATAGCTTTTTTATAATAAAAAAGGTCTATATAAGCCGGACGTATAATTAATAGAAAGCTATGTTTTAATTAAAACTAATCGAAATCCTAAGAATCGTATACGCTAAGGTTAAGAATAAAATATAAAATTTTTTAATTAAATAGAAAAACTATAAATATAAAAAAAATATATAAGAACTTATTATAAATTTTTAGAATTCTTAATAACTTTTTAAGGAGTACTAAAATTAAAATTAAAACTAAAACTCCTAGCTATTATAGCGTTTTAATTAATAACCCTAAAAATATTATTAGCTTATATTTTATAGGCTATTAATAAAGTATTTTTAGTATTTTTAAGAAATTCTTTTAATATAATATAACTCTTTTTAAATACTATTTATTTTTAAATATAAAAACGCTCTAGTTTAAATAACGATTTATTTAACTTAATTTAAACTTTTTAATAAGCCTTAGCTTTTTTTTATAATTTTATAACCTTTTTTTAAAAACGTAACTCTTTTATTTACTCCTTATAATCTAACTAATCGGATTTTATTATTAAATAATTAACTATATTAAATTAGCCTAGATTATTAAATAAGGACTATAATTACTTACGAGTATAAATAATATTAATAAAAGTATTATATAATATACCTAAGTAATAGTATATCTTATAAATATTAAAATTAAAAAGGATTAAATATTAAATATTATGCGAGTAATAATTTAAATAAAATATTATTTTTATACTTTTATTAGAAAAACGAATAATATATAATAACTTATAATAAAATACGGCTATTTAAAATTTCGATTTTTTAATTTAACTTAATATTATATTAGTATATTTTTTAATAAAATAAACTTAATGATTCCCTAACTTAAAAATAAATAACCTATTTATAAATTTAAAAAATTAAATTTTTAAAAAGAGAAGTTAATATTACGACTTAATAAATATAATAAAGCTAAGGGCCGCTTTATAAAATTTATAATAATTATTATATTATATATATAAAAAGAATAAACTTAAAATAACTCTTTTTAAAATAAAAGAACTATAAATAAGTTACGTAATTATAATTATATAATAAAATAAAAAACGGATACTTATAAAAAAATAAAATAGATAATTATATATAAATAAAATAAATAACTGTTTAGTAAATAGTTAAGTAATTATAAATAATAATATTATAAAAAATATATTTTTAAATAAGACTTATATATAATATAAATTTAAACTGGGCTTAAAAATAGATTTTTTATAGCTTCTTTAGTAATTAACTTAATATTAAATTTTATAATCGTTTTTAATTATTTTTATTAAGAACTCTTTTTAATAAAATTATAATTAATTATTAAAGCTTTACTTATTTTATAACTTATAAATATAGCTTTAAAAAAGCTATTTACGACTACGATATTATTTATTTAGTTATTATAGCTTTAACTTTTATTAATATACTTATTATAACTAGCTAGCCGTAATATTAATAATTAGTAGCTAAAAAAATTAATTAAATTACTATAATTTTTTAAGTTAATAATTAATAATTAAAAAAATTATATAAATTGTTATAATTCTTTAGGTTAATAATTAATAGCCGAAAGAATTAATTAAATTATTATAATTTTTTGGGTTAATAGTTAGTAGCTAAAAAAATTAATTAAATTATTATAATTTTTTAGGTTAATAGTTAGTGACTAAAAGAATTATATAAATTATTATAATTTTTTAGGTTAATAGTTAGTAGCTAAAAGAATTATATAAATTACTATAATTCTTTAGGTTAATAATTAATAACTAAAAGAATTAATAGATTTATTATAATTTTTTTAGTTATTTTAGTTTTATTTAGTTATTTAAGTAGTAATTAAATAAAAAATAAGTTTTTATAAAGAGTATTATATAGTTACCGTAGTAAAGTAAATTCTTAAGTTTTAAAAATTAAATTTTTTATAAAAAAGAAAGTTTATATAGAAATTATAATATTTATTATAAGACTATAAATTCTTAAAATAAGGTTATTAAAATAAAATAATATATTATTTCCTCTTTTTTTTTTAAATATTTATATAAATTTATAAAAAAGAAAAAGCTTTTTATTAAAATAAAAGTTGGCTTTTTTTAAAAATTTCTTAAACCTAAACGGATTTTGCCTATTTAATATTATAAGAAAAGGTAATATTTACTTTTAATAATAATATATAAAAGTAATACCTAGTTATTTATATATATACTTTGAATAATAAAAACTTATTTATAATTACTAAGCTATTTTATACGAGGCCTTTTATAATAATTAAAAGTTATAATAACTTTTATATATAAAAATATTCTTATTAAAAAGCCCTTCTTATTAAAATTATAAATATTATTATCGTATATTTTATACTCTAAAATCGTATTTCGTACGAGGATAAACTAGGCCTAAATAATTATAAAATCCTTAGTTAATACTTTTTAATAGTCGATTTTATATTAAAAACGCGTCTTTAGCTATAATTAGCGTTATATAAAGTTCTTTACTTATTATAATTTAATACGCGTCGTATTACGTTTATTAAAAAAATAATTAGCTATATTTTATATATTATTAAGTCGTAATAAAAATCCTCGATTAATTAAGTTAATTACTCATTTAAGACTTATAATTTTTTTTTTAAAAATTTTTTTTTTTTAAATTCGTACGAGTTTCGTATTAAAATAATAAGTTAATATATTAATTATAAAGTATTATTCTTAGGATATTATAAATAAAAACTACTTTTTATATAAATAGTTTTAGGTCTTTTTTAATAGCTTAAAATATAAAAATAATATAACTTTTATTTAAGAAAGAACTTATTATTATATATAGAAGAAAGTTATTATAAAGGGAAGAGGTATAAAAAAAAGGAAAGTAGGTAATTTATTATAATAAGCGACTCGCTATATAAGTACGTTATTATAAAACTATAAATTCTTAAAATAAGGTTATTAAAATAAAATAGTATATTATTTCCTCTTTTTTTCTTAAATATTTATATAAATTTATAAAAAAGAAAAAGCTTTTTATTAAAATAAAAGTTAGCTTTTTTTTAAAAATTCCTTAAATTTAAACAGATTTTGCCTACTTGATTTACTTTATTAATACCTAGTTACTTTTTAATTACGTTAGCCTTTTAGCTATACTATATTAAGCTTAGGTTAAATAAGACTTTAACTTAGTAATTCTAAAATAATAATAAATAAATATATATACTTTTCTATATATTTTATATTAAATAATAAGTAATATAAACTTGCTTTAAACACTCTTTAGTTTAATAAACATTCCGTAATTAATATTCCCTTATTTAAACAACTTCTAATCGTAAAACTATATAGATTTACTTCCCCTTCGTATTGTCCCGAAACCTTGAAGTAGACGCGGCCTTTCCTGCAAGCTGTCTAATGCTCTGGCCGCTAGTAATCTCAAACACTGAAATGTCCGCACCAACCTCCTTGGCCATCCACACTCGAAGTTCTACCGCTACTAAAGAATCTACACCATACGTATTCAAGGGCCTAGAGGAATCAAGATCTGCCAGCTCGTAGCTGAGAATCTTGGCCAATTGTCCTAGCAAAGCATCTAGTACGGCTTGCTCGGCATCCTCCAGGGACTCGGCGGCAGCGAGCAGGTCGCCAACAGAGCGCTTTGCAGAACTTTGCTTGCCGGACAATGAACCACCACTATGAGCGCCGTGAAGAACTAAGTGGTTATACATAGGCTCATGCTGCCATGTCGGCTGCTCAGCGCCATCATCCGCCGAGTATCTGGGCAGCCAGAGCCTGGGAATGACTTGAGCATCCTGCACCTTGAACTCTGTGCTCTTGGATCTGGGGCGACAGTGGTAATCCAGCGCATTGATGAGATCCTCCACGGACATGCTGGCCCAGCCGATCGATAGAAGATACTCTCTCAGCATTGGTCTTGCAGCGACCATACCAGCATCAGTCAATACTGGTGCGTCAAGGGCGGCTACATTGTGGCCTTGAGATGACAAAAAGCGCGCCATGGCGTCTTGATACGAGTTGCCCGCGCTATAATTAGCTTGGCCGTTGTTGCCAGTGACGCTGGTGAGGGATGACAACATGACAAAGAAGTCAAGTGTTGAATTGTCATTCTTGGTGGCAATAAGGACTTCCCACAAGTTCCTACTTCCCGCCACCTTGACGTTGACTGCTGCATTCCACTCCTCGAGGGTCATCTCAGTGAAAATATTGTCCTATCACGAGGTATTAGTAGTGTCAATGAGGGATGTTACCAGTGAGATCATAACTTACACTGAGGACCGTAGAAGCTTGAATGCATCCACGCACTGGCGGCAAATCAGAGATAGCCGAAGCGATGACCTGCTCAAGTCCCTTCTTGTCGGTAATATCACAACAAGGACTGACGACCTTGATGCCATCGCTTTGGAGGTTTCTGATAAGATCCTTGGCAGTTGCATCGACAGGTCCCTTTCGTGAAGTAACAACAAGATTGCGCGCACCCTGGCTGACCATCCAACGGATAATCTCCAGGCCAAGACCACCAAAGCCACCAGAGACAACATAGGTAGCATCCGAGGCGAATTGGGCACGGGATCTACATGGCTCAACCACTTGAACCAAGTCCTCGGCATGGTACTCCATGAGGATCTTTCCAATGTGCTTGCCAGACTGCATGAACCGCATGGCATCTTGAATCTTGGAAATGGGGTACTTCGTGACAGGTGTCACACGCTCGAGATCACGGCCAATGACACTCTCCATGGCGCGTGCAAAAAGGTCATCTAGGCGTTCTGGGTCCGTTTGTCGCATGTAATTCAACTCGAGGGACTCGAATCTCACGCCTCGGGCAAAGGTACCCATAGAAATGCGAGATCTGGACTCAATGTCCGCCAGACCAATCTCGGCGAAGCATCCAAACGGCGCCACAAGCTCCCAGGTGGCACGAAGCGTGTCACCGGAAAGACTGTTAATGACAATGTCGACTCCTCGGCCTCCGGTCAATCTCTGAATGCCATCCTTGAAGGTCAGATCGCGGCTGGAGAAGATGTGATCCCGAGGTATGAGATAGGTCTTCTCGAGAAAGTCTCGCTTCTCGATGCTGCCAACTGTTGCGAAGATCTCGATACCCTCACGTTTAGCCAGCTGAATAGCAGCTTGACCAACACCTCCAGCCGCTGCATGAATTAGCAAGCTAGGCTTCTGGACGCGTGTCATCCGTTTCTCTAGTTCTCCAATGTCGTAGAGACAGGCATGTGCCGTTGTATACACAATGGGAATAACTGCAGCTTCAGCAAAGGATTGGTCTTCGGGCACCTTGGCCAGGGTGCCTTCAGCACCTCTGCCGTATGTGGAAAATGCGCCATTGAAAGTGAAGCCAAACACATGATCGCCAGGCTTGAAGCGTGTGACTCCTAAGCCTACTCGGGTGACAATTCCCGCGGCCTCAAGACCTACAGGCGTTTCTTGGATCTTTCCGAGCATGACGGCCAAGTCCTTGAAGTTGACGGCAGTAGCCATAGTTTTGAACTCAACCTCGAGATCGTCCAGTGGAGTAGTGTGAAGGTGGTCGTTGGCGAAATGGAGCGAACTCAAGAGACCAACAGTCTGGATTTGAAGTCGTAGTGGTCGACTCGGATCCGCGCCAAAAGCAAGCTCAGATGTATCGCCAGTAGAAGCCTGTTGGATGTGCTTAGTGATTGCGGAGACCTCGACAAGGCGTGGAATAGTGACTAGGCCATCGGCAATCTTGTACATTGTTTCCACAGGACCCTTGCTGCTCGAAAGGTGCGCGTCTACAATGGCGATCCTGTCTGAAATAGTGACGTTGCTCTCTTGGGGATTAAAGGTGAGAGTGACAAACTGAAGTTCAGGCTTCTCCAGTCGGATGCTCGCAGCAAAGCCGTTGATGAGAGCGGTGTCAGGGGACAACTCTTTGTTGACCCATAGCAGACGCTTTCCAGCAATCATGGCTTTCATAGCCCTCAGGATCTCGTTGTTGGCTGAAGCAAGCAAAGGCGTTTCCAGCTCCGCAAGTACAACACAGGTGCTTTGACAAATCTCCTCCTTGGGTGCTGCTTCTGCGAGCTGAATGTACTCTGGGATAGTAGCAGTTTTGGTCGACAAGCCCTTTGACTGCAAATAGGTTGCCAGCTCCTCAGCCACGTCGCGCTGGACTGGTGAAGAGAGATCTCCTACAATGTAGTAGCTTCCAGACAGCGATTCTACATCAACACCATGAAACAACGGGGTACTCTCTACCGGGGTGCTCGCCACCAAGACTGATGAACCTTGATGACAAAGTACAGCATCGATGCTAACCAGCCCGGTATCGCCGAGATACTCGCCCCAGCTTCTTGCCACGATGGGACTGCTTGCCGCCGTCAAGACGAGCTTACCGCCAGGTCTTACAAGACTGAGACACGTTTTGAGGAACCCATCAATGTCTGCATTGGGTATCAGAGCGACCGGTGCAAACAAAAGATCATATGACGCCACATCGAAGCCCTGGGGACTTGGGTCCTCCGTAACATCAAAAGTCTTATATCGCACATAATCGTCTGAAGTCTTCTTCTGTGATTCGTCCAATAAGGTGGATGAAGTTTCGGCAAAGTCATACTGCGCATAACGCTGTGACAACGTGGACAGAATGTCTTCCGTAAGGGAAGAAGCTTGATTGCCAATTTCAAGCAACTTCATCGAAGGATCCTTGTGAGCCAGGACACTGAGAAACTTCTGGAACCCATCATTCCCCGAGAAGATACTCTGCGTTTGTGCTGTATCGAGGAAAGTAGGATCAAGAGCCCAATCAATGTTCCATGCTTTGTGTCTAGGGTCCTGCTTAGAGATTGAGTCGTCGTTGTTTTCATCGATCTCTGTCACGATACAACCCGAAACTCGAATCATGGGCGTTTTTGAGACAGAATCAACAGCGGTGCAGGACATCTGATGCTTCTTGCGGCCATGGGGGTCGGAATCTGCAATTACAAGATAGCCATCTTCCGAGTGCTTAGAAGTAGAAACCCAAAGTTCTTCCATGAAAGACAGAACAATAGCATTCTTCTGCTTTTTGGAGGGGTTGGAAACGAGTGGCACCAGGCATGCTTGAAGTGCACCATCTAACGTCGTAGGGTGAATCAAGTGAGGTTGCAGATAGCCGTGGGGCATCAGAGTCTTCAGGAGAGGCGTCGTAGGTTTGACTCTAGCCAGAGTGACACCGGCTTCATGGTCGACAATGGCATGTTCAATGGTCTGAAAGGTTGGGCCAAAGACCAAGCCGACATTCTCCCAAGATGTGTAGATCTTTTCGGACGAAACGTGACTCGTGAAGTTCTGCTGACTCTGAGCGATTCTCGATTCGCAATGAGCCTTGAAAGCCCGCTCTTCGAGACCTCCATCAACAGCCGTAGCCGCCTCATCGTATTCCACGAGAACTTGACCGCAGCAATGTTCTCGCCATTCGTCGTCGTCCTGGGCTGTGCAGACCTGAAATTCGCGCCACACTGAAGCCTTGGCCTCCAAGGCAGCCTGCTTCACGGGGCGAAGGTATAGGTGGGACTCGACGCCCAGAGCACCCTCGGGAACTTGCAGGGCCGAATGAAAGGAGACTTCACGGAACCGGATGCCCTTGATCGGCTTTCCTGGGTTCGAACGCTCCGACAGTTGCTTGCAGCCCTCAATGGCCATAACAAGCATACCGGCTGCAGGATACAGCACAGATCCCGAGATTGTATGGTGTTCCACCCATGGATTTTCAGACAGACGGATCCAATTGCGCCAGATGGCGTCATGTTTTCCATCCCAATCGTTGACGGGCGCTCCGAGCAGCTCGTGGCGAGGATACGGCCGGAAGCGGAAGTTTCTGCTTAGTCGGCATTCGTTCCAATACTCTCGCGTGTGGTTGAAGGGGTACCGAGGGAGGTCGATCATCATTGACGGCTGGACGTCGAGGATGTGGTTGACCTTGAGCAGGTCAACTTGAACACCGCGAGAGAAGACTGATCCAATGGCTCCCATGAGAACCTCCAAGTCAGACTCGCCCCGTTTGAGCAGGTGATGATACTTCACATCGCCCTCGACCTCAACATCCTGAACAATTTGTCGGAGTGGGCCCCGCAAAGCGGAATGAGGACCAACTTCAATAATATCTGTAATGAGCTTGGATGAACTACTATCGCCCTTGAGATTCTTCAAAGTTTGAAGCATAGCCGTCACTGACTCATTGAACCGCACTGGGGAGGTTAAATTCTTGGTCCAGTAGTTCGCGTCTTGCAACTTGTAATGTTGAATCTGCGTTCCGTATGCTGACGAGAAGAACAGCACCTCGGAAAAATTGTTCGTACGGGAACTCGGGGGCTGTATCTTTCCAATACACTCGACGTACTCTTGCGAAATGGGTTCCAGGAATCTCGAGTGGTATGCCATCTCTACCTGAAGCTTCCGTGCAAAGATCTTGTCCTCTTTGAGTTTGTCGATGAGTGCCTCGATCTCTGCAACACTACCACTCACAGTATGGCTAGTGTTACTATTCATACAAGCGACAGTGAGCGTTCCGGCAGATTCAGACCCGGGTTGGTTGAGTCTGTCAATAGCCGCCAAGGTCTTGTCGAGATTTAATCCGACTGCAGCCATCGTGCCCTTTGGGTGCGTTGCTGAGCTTGCCAATCTGGCAGAGAGTTTTCCTGTGGCGGAGTTAATGAGTTACATGCTATCATTGTTCATTGAAAGATAGGTTTCACTTACCTCGCCAATGTGCGATACGCCAAGCACACTCCCTAGAGATGGCACCTGCACAATATGCAGCGGCGATCTCACCGGAAGAGTGGCCGACAACAGCATCAACTCTTAATCCCCAGTCGTGGAGAAGCTCAACCAAAGCAACCTGCAAAGCCGTGCATAAAGTCTGCGAAAACTCGGCGCCGCTGATCAGAGACTCGTTAGGTGTCTTAGAAAGCTCCTCTGTTATCCAACGTTAATTCAAATCGTCACTGAATGAAAGACATCGAAGAAAACTCACCAATGACAGACCACTGGCATCCTAAGGTCTTCATATACGCATCAGCGCACTCAATACTCATTCTATAAGGCTCATAGCACATGAGACCGTTGCCCATTTGAGCCCACTGCGCTCCCTGACCAGTGAATACGAGGGCGACGCCGGGTTGGGAAACAATGCGAGTGGCCCGTGGGCCCTGTGATAGCGCATGTTTCAATTCCACTGAAGAATTGGCGACAACTGCGGTACGCCAGTTGAAGGTAGACCTCTTAGCTGCTAGAGTATAGCTGAGATTGTAAAGAGGCTCCGTCATGTTCGGCAGGTAAGTCTCGTAGGCTGCGGCGAGTCGGGCGATACCATCTTGATCGTGGCTGCTAAGTACAAAGAGCTGGGGAGGGAATAGGGTTCCATTGATGACAGGAAGTGCTTGGCTTGCTGATATAATAAGTCAGTAATTGTGTCTTGTATGTCCAAAAGGGAAGTTAGACTTACGAATTGTGATTGGCAGTCGAGGTACCTCAATAGTGCGGTGGGGTGCTACGTGTCCATGCTCCCTTAGGAAATGGAGAGCATCTTCTAGCACAACGTGGGCATTAGTGCCGGAAACTCCAAAAGAGTTGATCGAGACTCGACGAACGCCCGTCTTGGTCTCGGGCCAGGGAATCGAGGTGGTCGGAAACTCAAGATGCCATTCGGCCGGGATCTTTTGGTTTCTTTCCTCGAACCATGCATTCGCCGGGATGATACCCCTCTCCACGCACAGGACGCCCTTGATGAAAGACGCAATGCCGGAGTTGCCTTCAGTATGTCCAATGTTGCTCTTCAGGGCGCCGATGTACAGAGGCTCTTCCGCCGAGCGATACTCCGTGAACATCTCACTGATGGCAGCAGCCTCTGTTGGGTCGCCAACATTCGTACCGGTTCCATGAGCCTCAAAGAAGCGTGTGTCTGAGGGGTCGAGCTTGGCTTGATCATACGTCAATCGCATAATCTCAGCCTGAGCCTCCTTAGCAGGTGCTGTAAGACCAGGAGAATGACCATCATGGTTGCACCCGGTATTGCGAATAACGGCGCGAATGGCTAGTGAAAGGGTACGTGTCAGCATTCGAAAGTCGCGTTCAACCTTTTAGCAGGCAGGAAGGTTTTCCATACTGTCTCCGTCCCGTAGCGCATCGGACATCCTTTTCAGGACGACGGCTGCGATGCCTTCACCTCTCCCGTATCCATTCGCCCTCTTGTCAAAACTGTAAGATGTACTAGATGGGTCCAGAACACCAAGACCATTCAGCTCCAAGCCCATCTCAGGGGAAAGCAACACATTAGTCCCACAGGCAATGGCCTTTTCCGATACGTATTAGCATTGGTTGAGAGGAAGGTTGTTGTAAGGTTTGGTACTAACAATATTACAATCGCGTGATTTCAGCCCAATGACAGCTTGATGAAGGGCAACCATGCTGCTCGAACAAGCAGTGTCAACACTCAGGGCTGGACCTCGGAGATCATAAAACCATGATACACGCCCAGCTAGCGTACTGGCGATGGTCCCGCACGCCGTGTATGTCATGGGAGTGTCCACATCCTTGATCAAGAGATCTCGGTAGTCCCACATGAACGCTCCCGCATAGACACCAGTGGGCGAGCCCTGCATGTCAGACATGGTGTACCCAGAGTTTTCCATTGCTGTGTAGACACATTCAAGCAGCATTCGCTGCTGCGGATCCAGATTCGCAGCCTCTGCTGGTGTCATGGCAAAGAATGGTGCATCAAACGCCTTCACATTAGCTTGCATAAAATGCCCTTCTTTTCCGCCGATCTGTTTTCGTGTCAATCAACCTTGAGATACATGAATAGGAAGGCGTATCTTACAACTCCATCTCTGTGATTGTCGGGGTGCCAGAAGGCTGCCGCGTTGTAGCGATCTGCAGGAACGGGAGCTCGCGCAGATCTTCCAGCAATCAGAAAATCAAAGAACTTCTCGACGCTATCTCCATCGCACGGGAGCTTGGCATCCAGGCCAATGACGGCAATAGGCTCGGCCATAATTTTTGGTAGGAGAGAGAAGATAAAGTCAGATTGTATTTCACAAGTTGAGAGTGAGTATTGCTCCTTAGTGTCTATTAGGAGATAAGCAGTAATGACCCAGAACGATGGGGAATTGGTACCCCAAAGGACTGAGAGCTGCTTTCTTTATTAAAAATTCTCCAGACTCTAATAGAAGACTGGCCAAACGTTGCTTAGTCTTTTGCCATGTTCACCCACGTCGCACTCTCGTTGTGGTGAGTCCATTTCCGCAACGCCCAGCAATGCTCCAAACACAGACACTGCAGGAAGTCTTATTCCCGATCATTAACAACTCACTGGAATTACTACTCAAAAGTTCTCAAAAGTTCCTAGTTCTTGGAAACCTTAGGATCCTGGACAGGGGAGAAACGCGGAAACAACACCGCGTTCCAGGGGTATTGCGTGATCTCTCCTGACGTGCGTATTTTGTATGAGTCAAAGCATAGTACGCTCGCAAGTATACACTAGGTCGCAAATAAAGTCCAAAACTTTTTAAGGAAAGTTGCAAGAGTACAATTGATTGACTCAAAGCATACCTGCATTCCAATAGTACGCGTGCGAACCAGACAATGGTTACATGACCCTAGCACATGAGCAAGACTAGGAAGAACATGTATGATACACCGCTGGAACACCCTATTAAGAGCAAAGCCATTCTGAAAACTGTACGATTGAGTCTTTCAGATAATAGTTGTTGTACTCGCAGTTCCGCACTCACCTTGAAACAAACAATTTGACTGGTACATTGTAAGTACTGATAAACACCGTGGAGGTCTACGGTTATTGCAGCTGCTCTCTGGGGTTAGATAATGGCCGTTCCAATATTTCCCGTCTTGATTTACATAATTCATCTTCATGCACTTTCAGTGATTGTTGAGACGTGGGCAAAACAGAATAGTGCTTACATGCAGCAGCCATATCCACTGAAGCCATGATGTGGGATGTTTCATTATCCCGTAATTGCTGACATCACGAACGCCGCAGAAACTCTGTCGTATTTCTCCGTCGTATTCGGCCCCAGACGGAAACGTCGTTATATTTCCACTTGGCGCCAAGGCGGCACCAATGTGGGACACCGAAGGATTGAGACAGCTTAGGCATCAACGGGCTGGTGTCATATACTGCACATTATGACCTTACATCATGACTATACATTATGCAGCATCATTGAGACACATTCACCCAGCCTGAACTCAAAGTGGAATTCGTCCACTACAACTCGTACTCTAATCTACTCCCCGATAAGCAAAGTACTTCAACCCATTCCGAGTCTTCCGTCGAGGCTTTTCTCCATCAGTGTTCACATTCAATCTCACAGGATAACATGTTAGAATTACGCCAGTCTTGATTAAATCACCCCACAAATCCCGGTGTGCAAGGGGTTTCGCATACCTGAAGTCAAAGCTGTTGACATTGTCTGGACATTAATCTGTCACAAACATGCTTATTGGCGGGTGGATATCGCAGCGCAGACTTGCGGTACGTTTGTGTCTAATTAAGACAACCATGCCAATAAGAAGCTTCAAATGCTACTCATTGCGACCTTTCAACCAACGTGCGAATGTAGCCTGCAAGTTCCGATAACGGTGCGTCGTCTTCGACGGCAATGGCAACAATCAAACGCAGAACGGATGCAGTGTCCGAGAAAATGCCTACGAGCACAAGGCAATTGATTCGCTCTGGGATGGAAGTATTCCCGGGACTAGGTCGCATGCTTACAGCTCCTCTTGACTGAAGAGGTGTGGAGGGATCGGTTTATAGATGGAAAGGCGGAGTTTGGACAGCATTCACCAGGCATATGCGCACATGTCATCGTATGTTGAAATCAAGTGAGCGCCAGGGTCTGTTAGCATTGCAAGCTTCTTCAACGTTTCCGCTTTGCTCTTCGGCAAATAGAAAAGCACGGGTCATTGCGCTAGGTGATTGGAATGCTTTTGCGGAATGGCTGGTCCATACATGATGCTAGCTGGCGGTGCATCTCATTGGTGAAACGCGATGGATCGATGCATGCAGGATCCCACACTGGATAGCTCGTTGACTTGGCAGTCGCACAGTAGTGATCTGTAAGTTGGCGAATAAGCTTGCTCCAACATATGACATTGCAGGAATAATGATGGTGTATGCTGGATATCAGACCACTCTCCATCACGTTCAGTTGATACATTGACATTGCCGAGCTCTTGTCCGGGTCTGTTTCTGGGCTTTCTCCTTTAGTCATCTCAGGGACACATGTACGTCAATACTGCTAGTCAATATTAGGTTTTGTGTAGGTATTGACTTCCCCCACGTACTGGTATTCTACAGACTGCTCTGGGAAAAGTGAGAGGCCTCGCCAGCGTCCAAAGATGGATAACTACCGTTTGAATACAAGCGATAGATAAGGTATTATACGGCTGACTGCTTCAGTTCACAAATGATAGCTACCATCAGGATCTCGTTCGTGGGTGGCACACATTTTCCATACTTGATTCAGCATCTTTTCCAGGCTATATCCGAGGAACTTAACAGCACCATTCTCTTTCTGGTCGACCAAACGGAGAAACGGAATGCAATGATCAAGGTAGAATCAAGTGTAGAGAGTTTGTATGTCTCTTTTCCGGGGTTCTCGTCCCAGCCCGAGGGTCGAAGTTGCAAGAGCTATCGCAAAGCGATGATAGAGCCTTGAAACACAACTTGATCGGAAATGAAAAGACGTTGGAAAATAATACGATGAAGTTTATGATGGTATATGAGCAACGAGATAAGTCGGACGATTTGTGTTCCGGCTGCAGCGACCCATGGATTGACAACAATTGCTATGAGTGAAATTAATGGCGGTCTACAAGTCACCTCCATCCACGTAATTACTCGAAAGTGTAAGTCCCAATATAAATAGGGTTAGTCCAGGTAGAATGGGAATACTTCATGCATGGTCCGGGAATTCAGTCGTTCCAAGAAGTAAAAAGTTCCCGTGGATATGCCTGTTTCATCGTTACTCGTTGAAATACAGGGCAAAATTATAATATCCCATGACAGTTCCCTATCTTGACAACCACCCCTGTTCCAAACAGGATGTCTTAAAGTGGGTCTGCTGCATACGGATTCACGGCCGTTCACACCACAGATGCGAAAGTTCCCGCCATATCCAACCAATAGAGCCGTGCTGCCGATGTAACACTGCTCAAGGGCCTAGAGGATGAATGAAACTGCGATAACTATAAGGCACCATGGTCACTGAGGGGTTCTTGGGTTGTAGGACACGGCCGTATCTCATTTGAAAACACATTTTTTCTTTCTAGCATCAGAATCCCGTGGTTGAAAAACAGTATGATGTTGGCCGCCATTATCGTGTCTGCTCTTTTTTATTACTTTTATAGCTGTAGAAAGAAAAGCTACAATCTCCCTCCTGGGCCTAAACCTTTTCCTTTCCTCGGAAACGTCAACGATTTGCCCCCGAGCGGCACGCCCGAGTACGAGCATTGGCTCAAATTCAAAGACATCTATGGTCCCATCAGTTCCATCCATATATTAGGGCAGAGGATCATACTTCTTCACGACCGTCAGGCTGCGCACGACTTGCTGATCAAGTCCTCTACAAAGACCTCGGGTCGCCCTTACATGCGGTTTGCGGATATTTGCGGATTCGCATCGCTCCTCAATCTTCAACAATACGACGGAACATTTCGACGACACCGCAAATTAGTCCACCAGCAATTTGGGACAAAGGCAGTAGCAGCACGGTATCGGGGAAATATCGAGCCTGAATCAACCCGGTTTCTTCTCCGTGTTCTGGATGACCCAGCCAACTTGGTGCAGCACATCAAGACGTAAGTTTGCCCAGCCTGAATGGACGTGGAGGTATCGACTCGATGCACATAACTATTGGTTTAGATCGTGTCTAATTGAATATACGTAGTGAGGCGAGTGCTATCATTCTCAAGATAACTTATGGCTATTCTATTTCACCTACTGGAACCGACCCTTTGGTTCATCTGATTGAGCGAACCATGGATGTGTTTGCACTTGCAACTGTCCTGCTCACTTGGGCTGTGGATATCTTTCCCATACTTCAGCATCTCCCAGAGGGCCTTCCGGCAACATCCTTCAAGAAGCAGGGTCGAGAATGGAGAAGGCTTCTGCAGACGACACAAGACGTCCCCTACTTATTCGTCCAAAAAAAGATGTCCAAGGGAACTCATGAACAATCATTTGTCTCGTCACTTCTTCGAGAAGACGGTATCTTCGACAGCGACACCAAAAATGATTATTCTGAAGATGACATCAAGAAGACAGCCTTGGTCATGTATGGTGGAGGAGCCGACACCACTGCATCAGCCCTTCACAGCTTCATCTTGGCCATGATCCTGTTCCCGGATGTCCAAAAGAAAGCACAGGCAGAGATTGATAGTGTTGTCGGTAGAGACAGGCTGCCTGATTTTGGAGACCGAGATCGCCTGCCATACATCAATGGGGTCGTGAAGGAAGCTTTCCGATGGCTCCACGTGGCGCCATTAGGCGTTGCCCACAGGACCGATGAAGACATCAGCTACCAAGGCTTTGATATTCCAAAGGGATCGTATTTACTGCCGTCGATATGGTGGTTCTTGCATGATCCTCATACATATTTGGATCCCTCTTCCTTTGAGCCTGACCGATATTCGTCACCTCGTAATGAGCCAGATCCTACAGATGAAGCCTTTGGTTACGGTCGGAGAATTTGCCCCGGCCGATTTCTGGCGGATGAGAGCCTCTTCATTACCATTGCACGTCTCTTGGCGACATTTGACATCAAGATGGCTGCTGACGAGTCGGGTAATGAAGTTGCGCCCCAGATCGCTACTACGAGTGGCTTGATTTGTCGCCCAGTCGACTTTCCATACAGCATCAAGCCAAGAAATGAGCAATCTGTGCATCTCATTAGATCAGTTCAGGGGAGACTCTCATCGGAAGACGAAGATGCCGGTCTTGTTCGGGACGATTTTGCAAGATTATTCGAGCAATGAGCAGTAGTGGTTGTACACGAAAACGCAGATCAAATTTAAAATCTTTCGATTTAAACATAGGAAGGAATTACGCAAGAATTGATTTTCAAACATTAAGGAAAATTTTTGTGCCATGCATAAGTACCTGTCCGTCTTAAAGTAGTAATTCGTTGGAGCCTTATGGGCTTCTCTTTTAACTCGTCTCGATAGGATGGAAACCGCCACATATCATGAAAATCGAGAGCTGAGCAGGATCATGACAGAATCATGCATACGTTAAGGCTTGCAGCTTTCATCATTGGTTACTCGTAAGCTTAAGCGTCAGCAATTATTCCATTTGGTTCAACCTAAAGGAACCGAGGCAAGAGCCACGTAGTATCTTGTTAGTTGATAATCCAGGTAAAGTACTTTTACATATGTATACAATTTAACACACCAAAGTTTTTCCATTGGAGGTGCACCTCATAATTAGTCACATTCCTCTAGCAGAGAGCCGGGCAATCTCGTCTGCTGCAATATCTCTACCCGGACGACGAAGCGTCTGCTGTATTGCCCTTGCATTGTCTCTTATGGCCACGCTTTCGGGCCCTCCATCCACGAGTCGCAAGAAAGCATCACTTAGTTCGTTAAGAGAGAAGCCAGGTGCTGATTTTCTGTTGCCCCATATTCCAATGCCGACTTGCTCAACCCTAGCGGCGTAGTTATACAAGTCGAGCCAAGTCGCCAGAATGAGATGCGGCACACCAGTCCTAGTATTATGCCTCACATTAGCACCCGTCCGTCAGGAGATACCAGTTAGTTCGCAATGGCATAGATCACGAAGAATATCGAAAGACAGCGCGAGCACTCACGCGATAGCTTCATGGTAACAATTTGCCCCGCCATGGTGGACGGATGCAATGATATCGCCCGTCTCGAGTAGAGCAGTTGGATCCACCGTCAACCACTTTGACACTCTGAGCCTATCATTCGTAATGAACTCCTCCACAACGGGCCTCCAATCCTTATCATCAAGACTCGGGGCTTTATTCAACTTCCACAGAACCTGCACATTCGTGCGCCCTAGGACGGTCTCTAATGCGCCGGCCATGCTGCTTGCTCTGTCCGCATCGTATTCAAACAAACTACCAAGGTTAATTAGCACTGTTGGGGCCCTCTTTAGCCATAACGTTAGCTCGAGGTCTTGCTCTGCTGCCGAGGCGACCGAGATCACGATAGGACCTGTTGTGGTGACGTTGGCTGGAACTAAATTGAGCGGAATGGCTACAGCAGCTGTGTCTTGGGAGATGAAGACACCGTTTCCGGGCTGGTGAATGGTAAAAAAGCTAATTGGGTCCTCGAGACCGTGGCCAGCTAGGAACTTGCGCTTCTCGACGAGCTCCGGATTGAACAACATGGCCCAAGCAAAGCTACCCATCTGGTAGATATTGGAGGGGATGTCCCGCCACGGGACAGGAAAGTCATGACCGGAGCCAAGGCTGCTTTCTTCAGTGTCGTTTTCCACTTCAGGAAGGTAGAGAATGAGCTTACGCCGGGAATTTCCAAAAGCCTCTGAGCCAGGGCTGTGCACCACCGAACACGTCGGCCAAAACGTTCGGCGACAAGATGGCGTGCAAGCGATTACCACCACGGGTGGCATCCACTCCCGGCCGGTGGAACATATCGAGCACTACGACAGCGGGATCGATATCTCTGATCAGCTTCTGCACGTAGTTATGGATCATGAGATGGTCCTCTCCCGTCCACCGTGAGACGAACGTGGCCATATCGTCATTAAGTCCCTTAAGCCCTGGAATTCCTGGTGGGCGTATCCAATTTGGTGTGAAGTTGAACCCACATGCATCGGAAGACTTAGGAGTTGGCAGTTGATGGAAGATGGCAGGACGAGATGACGGTGATTTTATGCGAGCGTATACGGACATCCTCTTAATCTTGGGCTTGATCTTGGGCCATGATGCAAAATGCACCATGATTTCTGGGTGACGTTCCAATAGGGAATAGACTGTCGCAACGTGAACGTTCGAGAGGCCATGCTCGACATTAGTAATAAACAAAACAGTGTTGTTCTTACCAATGACCGGAGGCTGTCGTTCAATCTTGGTAATGCGAAGGGATAGGGCGGCGGCCAGTAGAGCGATGATTAGAGCTCCGACAACTTGAACAGGTTTACGTGAGGAAAACATCATTTTTGAAACCACAGCAAGACGGTGTATTTAAATATTTGAAGCCACTTTTAAACGATAGCAACCAACTTGAAGTCATATATGTTCTTATATCTCTCAAACCCGACGTATACATGCCTTCATCTATCATTCATTGTAGACTACTTTCATTGCGGCAGCAGTTGGCTCGTATAGGGACTAATTGCCGCATGGTCATCATCTGCATAACACAATGACCGTGCATCGACAGGCTCCCGTGAGATCTCGGCATCACATCGCCGGCTTCCCCGAGTATCCGCCAAGGCATCAGTCGGCCAAGAACCGGGCGCCACTAGAAGATAGCACAAAAACGGTGCATACCATAACACAGGATCTAAGTGACGGTCTCTCGGGGTCCGATACAGCGTATCAAGTATCTAAGGCCAACATCGGGGGGGCGGGCAGACTAGACCGTACGCCAGAGGATGAGACCTTAAGATTCTAAGCAAAGAAATCTCACCCCTGGCTATGCAATGTCATCTAGTATGGTGGTGTAACAATGAGCGATGGTGCGAATCCATCAGTTTCTTGCCCTAGGGTAGTCATTGTGTAGAACGCTTGGTCACGCTGATGCCAAATTGCCTCCGAAAGCACACCACCAGAATTTCCCAATAAAGTGAAACATAAAACGGTCCATCAAATCTGGTTGGTTCCCTAATACCTTTGTTGTTCACCATACCTAAGCTAAACTTGTCTGGCCCAACCCTCTTTAGGCATTATTCGTTATCCATGATGGCTTTCAAATTGCCTCTTACGATTATTCTCGGAACTCACAGTGTGGGCATTTTTTGTGTTGCTTACTAAATGCCGCTGATATGTAGTTAGGTTGGAGATTCCATTGTCGACCCCGAAACGTCCCACTTTGATACCGAGCAAGATGTCCAAGCACTTCTAGATGACTTCTACAGCCGTGGATACAACCACCTCGACACAGCTCGCGATTACTCTCCAAATGTCCCAGGTGCATCCGAGTCACGTCTCGGCAACGCCAAAGGTGCATCTCGGTTCACAATCCATACAAAAGTCCACAGCGCAGACCCTGGAGATCATTTGCCTACCAAGCTCGAACTTAGCATTGATCAATCACTGAGGGATCTGCAAATGCCCACTGTCGAGACCATGTTTTTGCATTTTCCAGACCGCCATACTCCCTTTGATGAAACGATCAAAGCTATGGACACTGCTCTGAAACAAGGGAAATTCAAGAAGTACGGTCTTTCGAACTATTCAGCCACTGAGGTGCAACGAGTCCTCGATATCTGCGAGCGACATGGGTACAGGAAGCCTAGCGTGTATGAGGGACATTACAACGCTATTGTGAGAGGAGGCGAGAAGGAGTTATTTCCACTGTTGCGCAAGCATCACATGGCGTTCTACGCGTATAGGTTCGTCTTCAAATTGCGATGAGTTCCCAGCCGAATGCGAATTAACTTTGACGTAGTCCTGCGGCTGGAGGTCTGTTCTCAGGCCATACTGCTTCTTCAGGACGATGGAAAAGCGACGTAGGTCACGAGATGGTTGCTTCCAGTTGAGTCAGAGCCCTAATAGAAAGAACACAGAACTTCCTAGGTAACGTTTACACTTACCTCTATCGGAAACCCCCGGTCCGCATTGCAGCAGCTACTATACTTGAGCTTGCAAAGAATCACGGTATCGATGGACACGCAGCCGCATTGCGATGGACAGCATTTCATAGTCACTTGGATGGGGAGCATGAAGATGCCGTCATCTTTGGCGTTTCCAAGATGGAACAGCTACATCAGACTCTTGATGCCCTTGAGGCTGGTCCTCTTCCCGAGGATCTTGCAGCTGCTATAACCACCATCTACAGTACGGTGGAAGGCGCCGAGCCTCCCTACCACCTATAGAAGAAGTGAAAGACGAGCAATTCAGTAATGAATATCAAGTTTTAGGCTATACCAATGCGTCAAGTTATGCCCTTATAGTGGACTCAATCTCTGATAACCTTGCGTTCCGCTCCTTTTCTCCATTAATCATCCTTACACTCTTCGAGTGAGGAATGTGCGCCCATTTGCATCCAAATCCCGTTCACTACAGTCTCCACGAAGCGTATAGGTCTGAGAAAGATGTTACGGTTGTTCAAGGTGCAAATCATCCAGAACCATTGGCGGGGTGAATTATCTGGTCGGTAAATGAATGGTCAAGACAAGATTGAAAAAGTCCAAACGAAGAGCATGGGCATTTGGGTGCGACCTGATTTGAGTATTTTCCCGCAACATCCACATCGCTTCCACCACCACAACTTATGGCGCAGATCTCGATTGCTTATTGCAGATACTATCTTCACAGCACAATTGAAATTTTCTTTTAATTTCGATATAGATGATGGTCGTATTCAGTACCTTAAAAAGAGCGTCGCCTATGCGCGTCAAGTTACAAATGAACTATTCGAACGACGAGGCAAGCTTTACCTACAAATATACATTCCATAGATAGTTAGTCTTAGAAATGAGAGGTTTTCAGCCTTACCGACTTCAGATACACAACACATAAAAATGGTTTTTGATATGCCTTTTAGCCTCTACGACTCAAGTCCGGGGCTTGTTGATGGTAAAGGCAACATCTACGTTGGGATTTAAGCTCCCGCGCTATCACAGCCCCTATTGTCGGCTTTATATTCCCTGGGCTCTTACGGTGAAATGACTCCGAAGCAAATTCGACCCACTGGTTTTTACTATTTCAAGTAGATCGAATAGTTCATAAACACTACTTCCTAAGCGCAACGAAACGTGCGTGAGAACGTTAGTAACGACACCCGCTTTTATTAGTTTCTAGCTTTTATATACATTTCCCTTCTCGAATTCGGGCATCGCTCTTTTATTATTAAATAATAATCGTTTTAACTCTATACTATATGCTTTAAAAAAGCTGAATATAATAATATAATAATATTCTCCAAGTACCCCGTCCGACGACGAACAAAGCGCCGACTTATGAATCGCGTGTTTTGTTGATGAAAAAAGTTGAAAGTAAGGGTGAAGGCTGCAAAAGTTTACCGTTCTCTCTGCCCTCCCAAGCAAGTAAAGCAAGTTTGATAGAGCCGACAGCGACAGACAAATCCGAGATGAATCAAGTCTCCTAGAGAAGCCAGTCAGAAAGGAAGCATACTGTTTTCAGTTACTGGGAGTTTCGACAGGGTGATAATTACTCCACACAATGATCAACGACTTAGCCATATTGAGGCCCTTTTGATAAGAGGGATGATACTGAACAGAAAACACGTCGATGATTATCTAGTTTCACTGTATCGGGGCGCTCATATGCCTTGTCTAAGGTAACTCCATCAAACATCCTTCCTTCCAGTGTCAGTCAGGTCCCCGAGCAAAGCAAAACCAGTGCTATCGGTGTATTTTGCTCGTATATCTCCATTGAGGTGACAATTCATTGCGCAAACAGTCCGGATCGCCCAGGACGGGTTCAAGTTTAGGATTGTTCTTGGTGTAAGATCCTCATTGCCAGTTGAGAGGACCCACGCAGGGCAAAGATAGAAGAGGCTTCAGAATTTATAGCGCAAGACTTTAGTACGCCAGGCGGAAGAAGAAATAAAATGTGAAATAGGGACTTAAGAGCTTTGCAGCTACCACCGGACGAATGAAGGACGTGAAAATAAAGAGTTTGTCACAAGGTCTCATGAAAGTACATAGACGTTCTTCAACACAGTAAACAACACCTGTCCCATTCGCCCTGGACTCACCATACACACCCCTGTAGCCCGTCAAATAACCGGCCAGCAAGCCAGTTGTCCCATGGCGCATTTGAATCATCATAAAAGGTAAGACTCATCATACAGCTCATCCGATGAGGGACCTCCGAGACGGAGATCATTTATCCCTCCACACCTGATTTTAGCTCCCGGGTGGGATACTCCCCTCTCGTACGTTAGCTATGGAGAAATTGAGAGGTTTCAGCGAAGACTTCCCCGTGCGCCCTCTTATTTTCCTCTAGCCCATTAGCCAAGGCGAAATTTCCACCAAAGTGGATTTCACAAACACCACAGTTTCTCGATCGTCGGCCCGATGAACATGATCGTATTCACTGACCCGCACCAAGCCGTCCCAATTCCTACCTCGGTGCCCTACCTGCACGCTAACATTTATCCACTCTGTTGAGAACAGGTTCCTTCGCTATTTCCCCATGACTAAATCGTGGGGAAGACGAGTCAAGAGAACGCCGGGAATGCCTTGTGGCCTGTTCTCCGTGGGGTAAAGCATCTTTTCCCGGAGAGAAACATTTTGGCTCGTGGCCTGAAGTGGAGACAGCTCTCAGAGAAGCGGTCTTCCAGCGATTGGCCTTTTGTATATATATTGCGTTGGCAGCCTACATGTGGTGATAGGAATTATCAAGTTTTCTGGTGCTTCTCTCGTATATCACCATGACGATCCGAAGCGTCTTCTTGGCGACCCTTGTCGGAGTTGCCCAGCTCACGCGGCAAACACTTGGCCAATCAACTATTTCTTCTCAACCTGTCAATGTTCCAACTGGAACACCCATCGTTGGCGATTACAATGGTGCTTATCGCCCTCAATTGCACTACTCTCCTCCTCAACATTTCATGAACGACCCCAATGGCATGTTCCGAGGCGCCGATGGCGTTTGGCATTTGTATTACCAGTACAATCCTACGGGCGTTGTTGCGGGTAACCAGCATTGGGGACACGCGACGTCCAAAGACTTGTACCATTGGTCAAATCAGCCCATAGCTCTCTTCCCCCCCGAAAAGGATGTCTTTATGTACTCTGGAAGTGCTGTTGTTGATGTAAACAATACATCGGGCTTCTTCCCAGGCCAAGACAATGGTGTGGTCGCAATCTATGTGAGACTACCTTATACAAAACAAGCTTTAGATATCACAGTGGCTAACGTGACAAGACCCTGGCATCGCCGACACTGCAGACTCAGGGCATTGCTTATTCTCGAGATGGAGGGTACACCTTCACCCCGTATGCAAACAATCCCGTCATCAATAGTACATCGGCCCAGTTCCGCGATCCCAAAGTCATCCGTTACAACGACTCGTGGGTCATGGTGGTTGCCTATCCACATGACTTTGCCATCGGTATTTTCACGTCTCCCAACCTGAAAGATTGGACAGCTACTAGCAACTTCTCCCATCATGGTCTTCTTGGTCTGCAGTATGAGTGTCCGAACCTGATTTCTATGCCTTACATGGATACAGAGGGCAAGAGGCAGGACGACATGTGGCTTATGGCCATCAGCATCAACCCAGGTGCGCCTCTAGGAGGCTCTATAACGGAGTACTATCCTGGTACATTTAATGGCACTCACTTTGAGGCTGTGGACGCGGCTGCGAGAATTGCAGATTTTGGAAAAGATAATTATGCTGGACAATGGTTCTACGGCCTTCCGGCTGAGGAATTCCCGGTGTCAATCGCATGGGCATCCAACTGGCAGTATGCTCAAACTGTCCCGACTGACAGAGAGGGCTGGCGAAGCATCATGAGTCTTCCGCGTCAGAATTATCTGACTAAGGCGAAGCGTGTGGGATGGAAACTAGTCTCGGCCCCCTACAACTTGGAGCCCGTGCTGGGTCGTGAACTCGCTTCCAACCAGAGCATGGGTAACGGGACACTAGTCGTTGACTATGCCGATGTGGAATCCAACGCTATTTACTGGGAGGTTAATGTGACAGGCATTCCAGAGAAAGATATCTCGGCAACTGCTTCCTTGAACTTTACGTTCTCGAGCCCTGCTACTGGCGAGTACATCAACGGCGGATACTTCTTCGGCGGGGATCCGGTATTTTTTGTCAACCGCAACGGCGCCCGGGGCTTCGAGAATATTTTCTTCACGGAGAGAACATCTATTAGCAGTTTGACAACAGAACAGAACACGTGGGGTCTCAGTGGAGTGATTGATAGGTCGATCTTGGAGGTCTTCATCAATGGTGGCATCGATAGCGCGACCAACACGTTCTTTACGACTGAGCCATTGTCGCGCTTTGTGTTGAGTACAATGGATCTATCTAACAGTATGAGAGTGAGCGTCAAGGTAAATGGGTTAGAAAGCGCATGGAAATAGACAGAGCAGTGGCACTATTATGATGGAGAGAGTATTCGATAGCCGACGAAGGCGCCCTTTACCCTGACGAATGGAACGGGTGTAAAACAATCAAACAAACACACAATATCGTAATGTATGCCAGGAGTAATTATCTAGTAAAATAGAGTTGAACAAGGAGAACATCGACGCCTTCCATTCTCAGGCATTAACTGATGATGCAGTCTGATGAACACTTCATTTCCGTCGGCATATGTTCATGAAAACTTCACTCTGATAGGCGAACCAATACGCCTTGATTCTCCACGGTGTATCCTTATTAACAAGCTCAAAGTCGAAGTTGTGCACGAACTGGGCCACGAACTTGTGCAGCTCTACCTGTAGAAAACCGCAGCTGGTCAGTTTTACCTCTACCCAAGGCACATAGTCCTGTTCGACTTACTAGCGCAATGTTCCTTCCGATACACACTCTTGGTCCGCTACCGCCAAACGTCATCGTACTACGATCAAAGTATCTCGTCTTGTCTTCATTTTCAAGCCAACGGCTCGGGCGGAACTCGTTTGCATCTGGACCCCATATTTCCTGATCACGATTTTGAGCTATAGGGCTAATACCAATCGTTGTGTTCGCCGGGATCTTGATACCCCTGACCTCGAAGTCCGGCGGTGTGTGTCGTGGGAGCTGAAAGACGATGGACGGTAGTAGTCGGATGGCTTCCTTGATGACTGCTTGCAAATAGGGCAGCTTTTGGGTGTCAAGGTAAGACATAGGTGCTTTCAAATTATTCACATTGTAAAAGTTGTCGATTTCCTCTCTCAGCTTAGCCTGCACTTCTGGATTTGTTGCCATGTAAAAGAGGCAGGTTCGCATGCCAATAGAGGTTGTATCTGCTCCCGCCCCACTGGAGCTACTCTTAGTAGCTATTCTCTGCGATGAGGAGGTTAGACTTACACTAAATTCATCGCCTCCACCAAGATTTCAACGAAAGAAGCTGGCTTGCCTTCGAGGTCCCTCATTCGGCAGAAATGGGCCAGAAGGTCTTCCCGTCCAGTCATCTCAGGGTCGTCTAGTCGCTTCTGGACTCTCATCGCGGACCAATTGCGGAAAGCTACCAGGGGTTGATCTGCATTGAAGAATCCAGTAATCATTTGAGCACCACGACTTGTAAAAAGCCATAAACAACGAGGGAGGTGGCCGACGGATGACAAAAGCTTGAATACATCGAATATAGTTTTTCGAAGTTGACCAACGTCCTTTTCTTCCTGAAGATGACCAAATTGGGAACCATAGCCGAGTTCACCAATTACATCAAATGCAAAAGCATTAGTCCATACAGCCATGTCAACGGTCTCGCCAGCTTGTGCGTATTTCCCAAGCTTTCGGATCAGTAAATCGAGGCAGGCCTGAATATGTACCTCGTATTTGAGGACTGAAGACATTGAATAAGCACTCGCCAGGCGTTTTCTCAGGAAGCTATGGTGCTTCTTGTCCAATTCCGAGAACAGTTGAGGTGCTGTATTGGGAGGGTCCCAAATGGAGTACCAATCCGTTTTGGTGGCGTTGTGACCGTGGCCGTACAAATATTTCATGGCGTACTCGTCTACTACAGAGACTTCGTTTGGTGCAATTCGTACCACTCTTCCGTACTTGTTGTGGATGGAGAGTATGTCATCGTGCCAGTTACCTTGAATGTATTTTGTTGTGCGCCAGAGACCTGTTATTTTGGCTGGCAGAGGGCCAGGCAGATGGGAGAGAGGATGCAAAAAAAGTCTGTAGAACAAGGTGGCAATGATGGCCATAGCGCTGGCAGAAATGCAGGACAATATCGTGGGCACGACACCTATCCCTCGTTTTACGCTTAGCCAGTCAAACGAAGTGGAGTGTAGCGTCATGTTGAGAAGGAGGGACGTGATCATGGGCCGATCGCCTGTGTGCAAAAGATTGATGTAATTCTCTACAGATTTATTGTTTGCACCCAGCGGCTTAAAGCTAAGGAAGTATTTGGGGTAGCATATCGTTTCCCTATTTTTTTATTTTTTTCTTCGAACTAATAGCCAACATTCGTGCCAGAAGCATTTAATGTGCCCGCGATGCGGATGTGGGGCCTCAAACAGAATTTCCATTGCGATGCTTGGACATGTAACAAACATGTAGGTATTCGGTACGACGAAAGGTGCCCAGCTGATTACTCTCCCCTTTACAAAATACAAGTCACTTCACACGTAATCAGAAGTCCAACTGACAACTACACTCAACATTAGCAACATGGCTCGCACATAGAAGTCCCGCGATGAGGGGAACCGAGTGGAGACGAGTGGGGCTCAAGTCTGGCCAGAAGTTCAGTTGGAGCTTTAATTTGAGTGTGGCTACGGAGTTTGCGGAGGGAGGACACGGAGTCGGCCGATTGCGGGGAACGTCGTGTGGGGTCTGTAGGTAATCCCTGTGGGAAGAGGTTTCTAGTTGTTAGTTGTTAAACGTTACTGTTCGTTTCCGAACGGAATGTCAGACATTGTGACAAGATTTCTTCCAAGTCTCTTCGTTCAGATGGCACTCTCTATGGGCAGAACTCATTTGCCTGCCATCCGCAGTCTCGGAACTACAGTCAGTTGCAAATTGTTTACATCATTCAGCATGACATCTCAAAAAGCCCTAGTTGTATCCTTGATAGGACTGGCTACCGTTCTTGGACTATGGCTGCTGAGAAAATCCTGGCTTGACAAAGGGTTCAAGCTTCCCCCACAAGTCCCTGGTATCCCAGTGTTTGGCAACACATTTCAAATCCCCGCTCTGCAACAAGGTCCTTGGGCTAAGAAGCTAGCCGAAAAGTATGGCGAAACGTGAGTCGTGTATCGTGTAAAGCTAGTTTGTCTGCGTTTTCTGCTTCAAGCCTGACTGCTTTACTTACAGGTTCACTTGCAAGTTTGGCGGCTCGACATGGGTATTCTTAAACTCTTCCCGGGTTGTCAATGATCTGCTTGAACGCAGAGCTGCCATTTATTCGTCGAGGCCGCCGTTTCCCATGACCCAAGGCATCATGTCAGGCGATTCACGTATCGTCCTCATGCCGTACAATGAAAGATGGCGCATGCTACGCAAAATCATGCACCAAATCCTTAGCTCCAGGCAGCAAGATGTCTTCAAACCTTTCCAGGATCTTGAGTCAAAGAACCTCTGCTGGGATTATCTGCAAACACCCAGCAGATGGTGGTCATCAAACGCTCGTTATGCCAATTCTGTCATAATGAGCGTCGTCTTCGGCCGTCGGTCAACGCTCGATGACCCGGACGTGGTTGAACTATTCGAAACGCTTGAGTTATTTCTAGAGAATCAACAACCAGGCGTTAATATTGTTGATGCGTTTCCTGTACTGGACAAGATTCCCAAGGTCTTCCAATGGTGGCGGCCACGGGGAGAAAGAGTGTTCCAAAAGACCGCGAAGTACATGCCCAATCGCCAGCTATCATAATTCACTCAAGTCATTAACATGTGCTATCCTAGAGTTTATAAACGCGAAATGGTTAGGATGGAAAAACAAATGGCTCACGGAACCCAGCGGGAATGCTTTGGCACCGACTTTCTGGACACCGATGAGGCCAAGAAAATGACGGAGGTGCAAAAGCTCTTTGTTTTCGGTACACTCATGGAAGCTGGAAGCGATACATCTCGAGTGACCATTGGTCAAATCATCGCAGGCGCAGCCACTTACCCTGACTGGGTGATACGGGCACGCGCACAGCTGGATGAGGTTTGTGGTTCCAATGCAGAACGTTTGCCTGAGTGGGAGGATAGGGAAAGACTCAATTATATATCGGCCGTGGTTAAGGAAGGTTTCCGCTGGCGACCCAACATTGCAGAGATTGGTGCGCCAACCATGCTGATCAAGGACGATGAGTATGAAGGTTACCATTTTCCCGCAGGTACAATCTTCACCTGGAATGCCTGGGCAATTGCTCTGAACCCCGAGGAATACGATCGACCGGAACAATTTTGGCCAGAAAGATTTCTCGATGGTAATGAAGAAAACGCTTTAAAAGGCCATTGGGCATTTGGTCCAGGTAAGTCTTCCCCCGATCGTTGCGAAGCATTAGCAGAGGAATGACACTTGTTCAGGTCGCCGAGTATGTGTCGGATGGAAAGTAGGAGAGATGAATGTCTGGATCGCTATAGCGCGACTCCTGTATTGTTTTGATTTTGAGGAACTACCAGGGAGACCGATAGACACGATGACGATCCCCCAAATTACCAAACACACCGCACCTTTTGACGTCAAGATAGGCCCTCGGAGTAAGGAGCACGCGGCTCTCATCCGCAGGGATTGCGCGGATGCAGTAGCTGTTAGGTACTAAGGGTGCAGAGTGGAGGCGCAGTCAGGAGAAATAGATACTACAAGCGGCTTTCTGCTTGCTGGATCCTCTACTCCACCTCAATACAAGGTTTTTTTGCATCGCATAGCAAGCACGTAATCAAAAATCTTTCATGTTACTTTAGTTCCGAAATCCATAAGTAGGACAAAGAATAGTTCAGGCGTATCTGCCTCACAACCTCCAACTATCGGGTACATTCATGACCAGAACTATTGAAAGTCTTCTAAGGTCCTAATTCATTGACGGACTAATTTGATCATGTCTTTTATAAATGACCAGACACTCGCGTCACATGGTTTATCAATGAATGAATTGACATACTCGAGGAGGATCACAATATTCAAGACATGTGAAGCATGGCCTCTTGATTCTCATCCCATAGACTGTGCTCATTGGACCATAATATAAATACACCAATGGGGATTCTCGAACCCAGATTCGACTACTGGCATGACGCGTGTGACGCCAGTGATGAACTGAAGTCGTATTAGTTGCGACTTCATCAAGTGAATAATGTACGAGAACCAGATTGATCACATGGCGACAATGGTATAGCGTTTTGCATGTAATAACTCGGGGTGAGATTCCTATGCCAGCTTTTCTAGCCATGATATTTCTCTGTAGCATAAGGTCAGCCACGAGTTAGCGAAAATCGAACGCCCTTCTCTTCACTTCTCTTTTACTCACATCGACCTTGCTAATCAAGCAAACGGGTCATTTTCTCAAGGTCTGTTCAGATGAAACCTAGTTGCCCGCGGGCATTACCTCGCAGGTGTAGAGAGATGCCAGCTAGAGAGGCCCTTGATGGTGAAAACCCAAGAGCCGAGTGGTCAAGTGCACCCTTTATTGCGCTAACACTTTCACACATTACTACATGTATCATTCCTTCAGAATCACCATAAGAGCCTGCAATGCCTGTTTGGATCAACCACAGAGAAGCATGCAAATTCAGAAAGCCAGTACTTGGTCTATAACCACCTCAATTAATCTTGAAGTGCAGAATGCTGGAACCGCGACAAGCTATTTCCGAGACACCAGTTTGTACAAAATATGATCTTTCTCCGTCCTTGGAAGAATTCGAGTAGGAAGTTGGCGCAGAATAGCAACATGCCTCAATTGAGCGGTATCTTAGTGTTCAGTGACAAGTAATTGGTTCTCACAACTTCATGTTACCTTAAGCGAAACCCCGGGAAACAGGTGTGTCGCGATACGATTATGACTCAGGGCTCGTGGAGCAGAAAGGATGCGAGCACAGTGAACCTCACATTAGATATTGAGTTGAATGACAATCATCATTCCTTGGGAAATCAAAACTAAGACAAATCAGAAACTATGGAATCAACCTGCGATGGCCTTCAAGCATGGCCTCGTCAAGCTCAGATCCCATCCATAAATGCCGTGTCTGGTCCAGATTACCTTCCACGTCGGTGAAATCCTTGCCATGAATAATTAATGACTTTCCATTAGTCTCAGGCCGAATCACCGGCACCAAGGAGTCCTTGGCGACATCTTCAGGCGTATTCGATAACAAATCGCCCCACAGTCTCTTGATGTCCTCGGATACCATGGTAGTGACTTGAGGCAAGTGCTACCAGCAGCTTTGGGAAGACAGGCTTCAGTGGAAGCATCTTAGTTGTAAACCAGGGAGCAAACATGTTGACGCTGATGTTCTGCTTTGGGAGCTGAGTTCTTACCCCTCGCATGAGGCCTAAACCCCCACTCTTACTGGCGCAGTACGTATAGAAGGGCGATTTATCGATCTAGCTGGCTACAGAGCCCATCAAGACAAGCTGTGATGCTTTCTCTGGGTGCTTGTTGAAGAATTCAATATCACGTGTGGCCACATACCGTGTCCATCTTGACGTCCAGAACGAGAGATCTAGAGCTGTCGGTGTCGATGTTGGAGCAGTGGACTCGTACTTGTTGATGACTGCGCTAGATATGACCGTATCGATAGGGCCCACGGTGCTCTTATATGTTTCCTCAAAAAAGGAGGCAACATTATCCCAAATGCTCACGTCACACTTGCAGATGAGGATGTTCTTGTTGATAAAAAGTGATCAGAGACTTATCCATGACGCTATGAGCGAAGATGGCATCAGAGTCACACGTCTTCAACTCTTGTTCTAAATCTCGGCCCTTGGCCTCTTTAACATCACAGAAAGCTACTTCAACTCCGGTTCCTAGAGGAATCAGCCGAGACAAAAGCCACACAATCAAAGGCAGCCATACGGTGCGCGAGCTTAGCGGTAGAACGGCCAATGCCTGTGGCTGCTCCGGTGATAATTATCACTTTGCCACGTAGGCCTTTCGTTTCTTCGTCTTCAACTTAGTGTTTTGACATGGTTCTTGTGTGACTGATCAAAACGAGTGGAATATTCTAGACATGACCAAGGTCGTATCCTTAGTGATTGCGAGGCCTTAATACATTAAACAGTTCTGATTCTATGCTAAGGACACAAACGAAGCAATCTAGTCAGTCGACACGAGCTTAAAAGAATCCTCCACTTTCTCTGAAGTCAAGAATGTGGGGTTCATGGGGTAAATCACATACAATGTTACCAAGGTGATGATGCTCACTTGGATTCACCCTATAGCATTACACTCCCCCGCAATTTGTTAGTCTTTAGACGTTGAGGGCGTCTCTTCTATGACGGGGAGTCAAATCCAATGGCCACGTCAATTTACCCCGCAGCAGTACACTCCCCCACAATCGATCTGCTAGTACGTTGAGGGCGTTTCTTTTATCAGGGGGAGGGGTGTTTAATCATGGGAAATTGTGAACTCTGGTGAACCCGAATTACAAGAGTGGGGTTTATTTGACTCCTTAGTGAGCCAAAGAACTTTCTTCTAGTAGTATTACTGAGGATAATCTTAGCCGTATCAGAGCCATCTACTCATCGGTCTTACCCTCAATTCCACAAGACATCCTACTCATTACGCTATTACTACAGCATTTTCCATCATGCGTCAGTCTGCCAAGGTCATCGTTATAGGTGCAGGTCCTGTTGGCCTGTTCCTTTCACTCAAGCTTGCACGCCAAGGGGTCGATGTGCTAGTGCTAGAAGCTGAGTCGGGTATCCTGCAGAGCCCCAGGGCCACAACGTCAGGGATAATCAAACAGAACTTTTAATTACTCTTCTAACCAGGTCTAATAGTTACATGCCCATTGTCTTAGAAGAGATGGAGAAAGTTGGGATTTTCGATGACCTTGTCAAGGCAGGACACACGAACTACGAAGGCATACAGTTCCGCCAATCGTATGCAAAAGGCGGCGAAGTTCTGGGTAGCCTCAAGATGTCTCAAGTTCCCAAAGGGACTGTGAAATACAACTATGCAGGAATTCACCTCGGTCAACATTTGGTTGCAAAGATTATCCTCGAACATTGCCAGAAGCAGCATTCCTTTCGAATCCTTTGGAAGCATCGCTTTGTTGGGGTCAACCAGACCGACAAGAGCAGACCTGTTGAAGTACTTGCAGTTGGCCCCGCCGAGGAGGTATTCTTCACCTGTGATTATCTGATAGGTTGCGATGGCGCGAGTAGTGCCGTCAGGCGATCGTTGTGTATTCCCTTTGAAGGATTCACCTGGACTGATTTCCGGTTTGTTGCGTCAAATGTCAACTACGACTTCGAGAAGTATGGATTTGCGACCGCAAACATGATTGTTGACGAAGAAGACTGGGCAGTCATTGCTAGAACTGGCCCAGGAGACGAACCATGGCGAGTTGCATTTGGGGTCCGGACTGACATTGTGGATTCAGACGTCATCAAGCAACTCCAAGAGAAATACGAGCGTCTATTTCCAGGACCTAGACCCTTGGAGTACGATCTGGTGAATGCAAATCCTTATTGGGCCCATCAAAGGTGTGCTAAGACTTTCCATGACGAGAGAATTGTTCTCTGTGGTGATGCTGCGCATGTAAGTCATTTTCAATGCCACGTTTGAGAATGAGCTGACTTTTTTCGTCTTCTAAAGTCCAACAACCCAATTGGCGGACTTGGTCTGACAACTGGATTCCTAGACTCTGCAGCACTTGGGAATTGCCTTCTGAGAATTTTAATCCTCGGAGAAGAGGCCGCTCCGCTCCTGTCACGATACGGAGAAGTTCGAAAAGCAACATGGCAAGAGTTCACGAATAAGGCATCGACAGAATTCAAGCTACGTTTGCACTCTAGAGATCCTGAAATTATTGCCCAGAGAGAAGCTTTCATTTATGCGCTGAATAACGACCCCGATGTGCATAAAAAGGCAGCGTCATCCATGAACGAAAACATCCAAGACATGTTTGAAAAGCCAGTATAATACAATAGGTTTCTAATAGAAATTTATGCAATCGCGAGCTTGCGCCATTACATAATGGAAGATCGTCGTATTGTACACTAACTTGCCGGCCACTCCCGCTCCGTCCTAAAGATCGGAGATTCGGCTCCTCCCGGTGTCCTAATAACGACATCTCAAAATCTCGCTGTGGAGACACTGGGTCAAAGAGACGGCAATGAGCCCTGTTAACTGGAGAACTAGTGATACGAACTGTTACATGCTAAGTAGGCACTGTGACCAGTGGATAACGGGGGCTAGAAGGTCCTGATTCCGTGATACCGAACTGCCGACGGAGCGGGATTTGCCAAGATCCGAAATGTCGCGATCTGCAACCGACATAGAACACGAGCAGGACTACTCTAAGCGAAAGGGATCACTGGAAATCTATATTTGCAGTCCGAGTCGATCGTTCGTTGTTTCATAAGGTATTTTCCAGTACTCATTTCATGCTCTATCCTTCGACCTCAACGCCATGGGCATCAAAATCATCATTGTAGGCGGCAGTGTCGCTGGTCTTTCTCTTGCCAACATGCTGGAGAGATTCGACATTGATTATACCATTCTCGAAGCGTATTCTGAGATTGCGCCCCAAGTTGGAGCTAGCATCGGCTTACTTCCCAACGGCCTGCGCATTCTGGATCAATTAGGCTGCTATGAGCGACTCCGAGAGGCTGCTGGGAATTACTACCACAGGGTGACCTTCCGCGATGCGAATGGGAAACCCATTTCTTCAACCCCCGGACCAACCATGTCAGAAAGAATGGAGAAACAGTTAGTTGAATTCTTTCAGGCGTTGATGTCCATGATACTGACCAGCAAAGCGCCGGATACGCGTCCTTGTGGGTAGATAGACAGATGTTACTTCAAATCCTGTACGATAACCTGAAGCGAAAGGATAAAGTCCTCACGAACAAGCGCGTCGTCCACGTGGAAACCAACTCTGCGGGAGTTGCGGTCACGACGGAAGATGGATCGACACATACGGGCGATATCCTGGTTGGCGGTGATGGGGTTCATAGTAAGGTACGGGAAGAGATGTGGCGGATAGCTAGTGTCTCTGATCCAATTGCGTTCCCCCCGGAAGAGAGATCAAGTAAGTATACAAAGACTTCCACAACCTTGTACTGACCTAAAAGTCGCGAAGAGAGACGTACTAATAATTGATCATAGTTGTGCAATCGAGCATGAAGTGCATCTTCGGAATCTCCAAGCAGCCCGTAAAATTCCCGCCTGGTGCTACTCAGCAGACCACATTTTTCCGAGGCCATCTATACTTGGTCATATCCGCCCCAGGAGGCCGGGTGTATTGGTTCCTGTTCCACGAATTAGGAGAGACAAAGTACGGAAAAGACATTCCTAAATTTTCCAAGGAGGATGAGTTACTTCTAGCGACACAACATCGAGAAGACCACATCACAGAAGATCTGACGTTCGGGGATCTCTATGATAACCGCATTAAGTCTACATTGGTCCCACTGGAGGAACATGTCTTCAGACGATGGCATTTCCAGAGGATTATCATCATCGGTGATGCGGCAACCAAGGTACTACCGCAACCCATGGACCTAGGACTACATATACTACGGTAGTGGAATGTTGTGCTAATATTGCCATCCAGGTCCATCCAATCTCAGCTCAAGGAGGAAACGGTGCCATCGAGGCGGCAGCGAACCTTGTCAATGCCCTTACCCGCAGCGAGGTTCCAACCTCTCCAGGCCTCCAACTCGAATTCATCGAAAAGGCACTTAGTGAAGTATGCGCGATTCGGTATGAACGGGCCTCCAGCATGATGAAGAAGGGTCGTCGGGATGGTGCATTCCTCTGCCAACAACCTCCGTTTTCAGGACTTATCATACACTACATTTTGCCTTGGCTCGGGGATGATCTCTTCTTCAAGGAGGTTCTCAAGCAGTCTCTTGCTGGTCCACATATCGAGAAGCTCCCTGCACCGGAAAGACCCCATACGACGCCTTACAATGATGAGTTGCCTCCGATTTCTTCTAGAAATTCCTATTTTGGTTGGACTACCGGGACGTGCTTAGTGGTGACTCTTGGCATGTCCCTGTACCTAGCCCAAAGTGCTGGACGGTTGGCATGGGTGGCCAAAAGCCGCTAGGGGGATAACATGCACCGCGTTAGCCTCCCTAACTTACGCTCGTTTGATTTCTTGCCATTTTATTCCTCTCCCATCTCTAGTACTAGATACATCAATAGCCATTCTACAATGTTATTTGGTTGCGTTGACGCCCCAACAACATACAAACCTTGACTTTCTTTAAGATCACATCGTTAAGCTCCCCTTAACGGGAAGGCTGTCCCTGCACAACGGCCGGCTATGATCCGAGATTCTTATTCATAGCAACAGCCATTCCGACCAAACTAAGCGCTACGCTTTCACCAGTAGACATATTCGTCAGATAAGTAATACCACAGTCAACAATCATAGCCTTGCCGGTAGTCATAATATGGCTCGCGTTTCTAACCACATACTGAAGTTATTACTGCTGTTTTTGAGGGTTCACAAGACCGATATTGGCGAAGGTCTAAAGGTGGTTCCTAATTAATGTCTTCTCTACGGAGCAAACGGTATGGAAACTAGACTGGATGTCAGCGACAAACTCGAGGGCCCCATATAGCATAGCATAGCGTTCTGCCTGTGTAGAGCGACAAGCCGCGTCTAAACGCCCAGTTTGTCTCACGTAGCAGATGGAGACGTGGTAATCGCTGGGCTTTGTACATTAAAGACCCCGTTCACTTTATTGTCCGACCATAAGGCGATTCACTCGCGCTACGGTAACGCCCCATCATCTCCGGGTTATTACTGACAGAGCGCTTCACACTCCGGTTTCAAATGTCTCTCACAAATTTGCAATTGTCGAGCACATAATTATATAGCTAGACAGGGGCTTTCCATAAGCATCAGGCTTCTCCGGATCTCCTAGAACCACGAACTGGTCGGGAGCGCCAGTGAAACCATTGTGACCGACTAGAGTAGTACTGGAAGGTGGTGCCTCCTGGAAAAAGCCCTCCATCGTATTACTACTAATCATACTAGATGTTCCAGTCCCGCGGGATGAGCGTCACGGGAATTCTGCAAAGAGAAGTTGGAAACGTCATAATTATCTCCCATCACTCTCTGTCGGCTTTTCCGGATCTACGACATTAGCCTATGTTCGGAGCAGCCTCATCCCTTACCCCACATGCCTTAGCCAGGCGGTTATTAATAGCCTAAACTGCATATAAATCGTTACCTCGCCTAGGTTGGGTCCCTTGTGTGCTTATGGGATCCCTCATTAGTACTGAGGCCAAGCCAGAATACCCGGGAAATCCGACATCTGCGCAAGAACATAAAGGTTTGGCACTAGTCCAGGCACGTAGTTGAGTTATACTCGCGCTCATTGTCAAATCCACAGTCTCATTCTGTCGCATCACTATTATGACCATGAAGTTTACGAATCCTATTATCCCTGGATTCGCCCCCGACCCTTCCATTGTCAAAGTTCGAGATATTTTTTATCTGGTCACATCCTCTTTTCATACCTTTCCGGGGATCCCCATATATGCTTCAAAGAATCTCCGTGATTGGGAGTTAAAGGGGCATGCAATCTGCCGGCCTTCCCAGCTCGATCTGTCCCATTGCTTCAGCAAACTGATCCCAATACCTCTCCCGGGCGGCCAGCCACTGGTTATCACGGGCGGCTTATTTGCAGCCACAATTCGCTTCCATGACGGGTTCTTTTACATTACTTGCACAAACGTCTATGAAGATCCCAAAGACGGCACGGAACACTATGGAAACTTCTTCATCAAATGCTTAGAAGATAGAATCTTTGACGACGATGGATGGTCTGACCCCATCTATTTCGCTTTCTTCGGCATTGACCCCAGCCTTTTTTTTGACCCTCGCACAGGTCGAGCGTACGTGCAAGGGTCCCATCGAGAAGGCCCTGCGGCTGCGCCAGATTGCTCGATCCGTCAGTTCGAGATTGACATCGATACTGGGAAGCTCTTAACAGATATCCGGCAACTGTGGAAGGGCTCGAGCACTGATGCGGAAGGGCCACATATGTATTTCAAGGATGCATGGTATTACCTGATCACAGCAGAGGCCGGTACTTTCGAACGCCATCGAGTCGGTGTCGCTCGATCTCGAGACATTTGGGGCCCATACGAAGGCTATGACCAGAACCCACTCTTGACGGCATACGGACGCGACGAGGACATTCGATGGACTGGCCATGCCGACTTTTTCCAGGATCGCGTCGGACATTGGTTCTGTGTGCATCTGGGCATTCAATATGACAGATCCGAACCAGCACGTCACCCAATGGGTCGGGAGACATTTCTTACCCCTGTAGAGTGGGGTGAAGGGGAGTGGCCAAAAATTACGCAAACTCAGAAAGAATTCGAAATGGTGCTTTCCGAGGCAGATGACGATCTGCCCAAAGGCTTTACCCAGGGAGGACCGAAAGAAGACCTTTATATACGTATTCCAGAGCTTGAAAGCTACGAATACTTGGGCGAGCGAGGAGGGTATTCCTTGCAAGCCAGTCCAGCTCATCTGTCGACCCCAAAAGGCACCTCTACTTTTGTTGGACGCAGGCAACGATACTTACACAGCTCCGCATCAACAGTGATCTCCTTATCACAGTTCAACAATGTGACCCATCACATATATGCTGGTCTTACTATCTACAAAGATCGTTTCAGTCACTCGGCTATTGCTTACGATACCAGGTCACGTGAGTTGAGAATAGAAGTACAATCAATTGTTGACAAGAAAGTCGACAAACGAATCATCGGGGCCCAGAGCGTATCTAAAGACGTTGACTCTGTTATCCTCAAGATTCAGAGCGACAAAGATGGCTACTCGTTTCATGTTAAGACGATTGATTGGCAAGAACTAGGAAACATTGATAGCAAAGAACTATCGGGCTATGACATGACAGGAGCAATGTTCGGAATCTTTGCAAATATTCTACATGAAGAGGATAACTCTCCCGTGCGGGAATGGGTTACTTTTGACAAATTTGATAGTGAATGGTTTTGAGAATGAGAATGACAACTTGGGAAAAGGGCGGCGCGGACAGTAGTGTAGTGAACAATTACCGAAAGTTCCATATTTCCAGCTAGCTCTTGATGTGTTCAGAACATTATTAAGAATTGAGATAAACCCTTGGACAGACTTAGGTAATAGCCAGTCAGAAGACAAAACTCGGCTATGTATATGATGTCGTCCTGTTCCCTTGTCCGTTCTTTTGTTGAAACCTTCGTCTATATGTATTTAATCTTAGCAGAAACGTCAACTCGAATCCATATTTCATCATCAATTATAACGCAATCTTGGCCTCAATTGCGGCAAAACCTCTCCAGGGCACGAGGGCGCCACGTGTCCAAAAGCGATGTGTTGCGAGGATGTTGCGGTAAGCTGATGCAGCAACTCTTGTCCCACCTGCTGACGCTTCAGAAGTCATCGCGCAGCTCCATATGAATACAGGAGACGGACATCGTCTTGTTCTGGTAGTAGTTGCGATAGCCTGGCAACTCTGTGCGAGTCAATGAGGAGGATGAGGAGGGTCAGCAAGTGATGGACTATTACTAGACGTCTGGCGAGGGCTGCGGCGCGTCATAACTAGCACCTGAAGTCCAAGACACAGTTGACTATGGCTTGACGGTCATAGTGTTTTGGATGTCCGTAATGGTCGAGAGGGAAATGGCCCGCAAGAGCTTGAACATGTATGAAGGCAGAAGGAGCAATCTGGCACAAAGACGATGACGTCAATTCGAAATGTGCCTCATAGGTATCGATACGCTCAATGTATTGGTACTTACAAGATATCCATCGGGTTGAGGCCACTGTTAGCGATGAGAGATTCGATCATCGAGAAGGCGGCCATGGAGTTCCGGATTGGCAGAGAAGTCCGAAGCCGTAGGAAGTGAGGTTGCAAGGAAGTCAAGGGCCGATTACAGGAAAGGAACCTTACCAGGGGGTTGAGGTAAATGAGCCAGCTAACAGGGCTTACAGTTACAGCCCAGAGGATGTCCAAAAACGCATTCTGTTATGTTATGAAGATGGAATTATTTGTGAAGAAAACTTTTTAGAGGGATCTAGCACGGTTTTATGGGGGATACCATAGTGCTCCCAACGCTAATCATAGCCTCAGAAAATATTGTAGACTCCAGGCTTTCAGCCTTTCACGAATCTAGACGCTCACCGCTGGGGTTCTCTGTCAGACTGGTATGGCTACCTCGAGCCGAGATCTTCGTTATGGTTTTTCCTGTTTCATGCATAAACGTTTCTGCAGACACGACCAACTTGACCACTAAGGCTGGTTTTGGAAGAGTGACATGCAGAGCCGGGAGCTATGATCCGACCTCCGGCTTCTTCACAATGACTCATGGCCCCTCGGATAATTTTAGCGGTAACGGTTACACATTGGCTGAACCGTCTCTCATACTATTGCATCTTCAAGCTTCCGACCAACATTTGTGCACCGTTCTATTCAGATACACTTTGACATAAATCACCGAACTGTTTTTCCCATTATTCTGATCATGGACTTGTACATCCGGCCACTGTCAATCAAGG